ATATATATATATATATATATATATATATATATATATATATATATATATATATATATATATATATATATAATTTATATACTTCCTGACTCCCAGTGACTCTGGGACACATATTGACCTTCATAATTTGGATGCAGCAAATTTAGTGCAAAGATAACAAATAAAAATTCACCCAAAGGACAGTAGGTTTTGTTGACTGAATATATTTAATAAATGTTTCTTTTGTAATCTTTAAGCAAACATGCTTTAAAAAGCTTTTCAGTTACCCTTATCAGACCCTGCTCAAGTTAGAAGCAATTGTTATTATGAAAACCGTAGATTTCTTGAATAATGCTTACCTTAAAAGAATGTATAATTAAATACATTAAACTTCCATCAGGGGGTGCTCGCATACCCTGACAGTTTTTCTTTCCTCATTTCTCAGTCCAAAGTCCATTTTTGGATTGATACTCTTAGCACTTAATTTGGCAGAAAGTGTTGTCCATAACTTCCTACTAATGATGTTTCTTTAAAGAAATGTTGGTTATTTTAAATAAAATCCAGTTGCTAACAGTTTCTTAGAACTTAAGCAAAACATGCTTTGATATTGACTGCTGACACATGTGATATATTGTAATTCGAGAGACGTTATAGTTGCTTTTATCACTGATTGTTCTTTGTAGATTCCATCTTTATTTCTCTCTGTCAAGACCACCCCTCAAAAAAAAACCCTTTAGAGTTACTTGGAAAAACATTTGGTGAAGGAACACTCACATTTCACTTATGCCTTATACATGTAGAAACCAATAACCCTGTAATCTGCTAGGGGTAAACGCTAGCTCTGCTGACTGAAATATCTTACTATATTTACTGTATGTATTTGTGCTTTTCATATTTCTTTTGATCTATTATCTGAAATTTGTTGCTCTATTTTTCCACCGTTATTAATTTCTGGACCATCATGGTTTAAATATGGAAAAATCTGGACACTGTAAGAGACCCACAATCTATGCTTGCAAAAACTCAAGAGGAATATCATAATACATTTTTCTACCAACATATTTTATTAAATGGTATCAGTTTTGTGAGCTGCAGTTTA